TGATAAATGTCTACCATGAGTTAGATCACACTGCATTTCACAGAGCAGAGAACAAGACGGATCCATTCACTGTTGCCAAATGTCTCTCAGAACATAGGTAACAAAGGGGCACAGGAAAGGGTTCTTTCTCTACGTGATGAAACCAGTTGTCTCCAAAAAGTCTTCCCAAATTGTGTTTAGACATGGTTTAAAAAAATTATTTTATGCAATAAACTTAGATTTTACAACTTTGAGTAAATGGTGAACATAAAAGCAAATGTATTAAATTTGTTCAGCTAATTCAATCAGATTTTTTTGTATGTAGATTGTTGGTTTTTTTTTTTAATTCTTCTGAAAATAGTGTAAAGAAAATGTTGCACTCAGGCTCTATAAGGGAATTTTTAATTAATTTCAAAAATATTTTAACAATGGCAGTATTGGAATAAGATATAAAGATACCAAACATTATTTTAAATTTATGGTAAGGGTAAATGAAAAACCTTTGTAGAATATGAACAGCCTTAAAAATAACTATATTCTCTGACTGTTTCACTTCTCAAAATGTGTACCCCAAAACTGCATAGACATATACAAAGATTTGGCTCCAAAAATTTTCCTCACAGGTTATTAATGATAGAAAAAAAATGGTAAGCCAATAATGAATACTGAAATACATGTTGGTATTTTGACAAGATGGAATAATACTATATAGCTATTAAAAATAATTTATAGAAAAATATTTAATGAAATAGATGTTCACTTTATAGAATATTAAATGAAAGATATGTGTACTATATAATCCATTTTAGTTTCAAAGAATATAGCTGTGCATAGAAAAAAGACCAGAAAGCTTTACCCTTAAATACTAATAGTGTTTATTTTTTCTAGGTGGTGAATTTTTAGGTAACTGAAAATTTTTTTCTTCCACTTTCTTGTTTGTGTATGTGTGTGTGCTTAACATGGAACAAGAAAAGAAAGCACAGATTTTTTTTTTTTTTTTATTAGCTGAGTATCAGCCGCTGCTCAGCTCGGGCCGGGCATCGAACCGCTGTTACTCAGAGCTCGCACTCTTGAGCGAGCTCTTAACCAACTGAGCCACTCAGCCGGCCCACAGATTTTTTTTTAAAAGTGAAAATAGAAAACTAGAAAATTTAAAGTGACAAGTACGTGGTTGGAGGTCTGCAATCGATAGCTCCAGAGCTTGCTGAGCGGCCCACCCTGCTTTAGGGCTGCGTGTAAGCAGTGGCTGCTTTGAGGAGGACCTGAGCATCACCCTGACCACATCCGGGATGATGACAAGTGGGTGCATGTCCAAGTACTTGTATTCATTAGGAAATCGGCCACATCACCTAATGTACCTGTTACAGAGCTTATCCAACCCCAAAGACTGAAGGAGATGTCTAAAATATATGTAATTGAGTTTTACTTTTCTTTGCAATTGTCCATCATCCATTAATTTTAAAACTTTTTTAAATGGCACCATACTGTTTTATTTCAACCCTCACACAACATAAAGGGGTGACAACTTGTGATGCTGAACAATGTAAGTAATAATAAAGGAACGAATAAAATATTAACAACAAAAAGACAATCATTTGTTTCACATTTCACAGCTGTGCTTTTGCAGTGCTGGCAAGTATTTCTGGCCAATTGCTTCCAACAACAGGGGTCTGAATGAACCCCCTGGTCTTAGCTAAACAACCACCACATTTTCTCTCTGATAGTTCACACTCTAAGTCACTATACACCACATGTTCCACTCACCAGACTTCTGTAAACCTCATCTTAAAATACACAACTAGGTATTGTGTGTGATCACAACAAAAACTAAAAACCAGAGTGTGGTAGAAAAGTAAAGCCTAATGTTTCCAGTAAGGCAGCAGGCGATCACTGCTGGCTGGGCCCTTCACTTTACCAGTTTAAAAGTTTTGATTTAGATTATTCAGCAAACTCAGCAAACTCAATATTCAGAAGCTTAACCAATAGGCTCACATTAAAAGCTTAAAAGACAGTTCCCTTCTTTGTTTTTGGTAAATGTTTTCATATAAAACATGAAATCCAGTTCTACTTTATATTTAAAAAAAATAGTATGTTTTTAAAATAAAAATATACAGAGGGTGCCAAAAAAATGTATACACATTTTAAGAAAGGGAAAAACTGTATTAATATATACTGATAACAAAAGATAAATACAAGTCACGTTTGACTTCTGCAATTACAAGAGATGCTCAAAGTGGTTACCATCAGCGTCCAGACACTTCTGATTACGGTGAACTACTGCTTGAGCAACGCTGACCAAAGGGTTAACATCTTTTAAAATGTGTATACATTTTTTTGGCATCCCTGGTATGTGCTTATATTTCTTTTTTTTAAAAAAAGACATTTAATAACATACTTCAGAAGACTGGATTTAACTCCCCAATCGCGCCCCTCCCCCCACACCCACACCCCGCCCCTTTCCCCTGCCCCGGGCTGTCCGCTTAGCACAGATACATTAAGGCACAGGCTCCTGGAGAAGCATGTCCAGCTCAGCTGTGGGCTGCGGACTCCAGGTGAACACGCTCCACTCTGGCAGAGTCATAATGAGCCCATCTCTTCCTCCCAATGGGCCTAAAGGGGTTCAGTTCTAAGTGGCATGATTTCCAGTTCCTTAAACAATGTCTGAAACCTAGTATTAAATCTCTGTTGAATTATTAAATGAACAAATGGAAACAGAAGAGAGATGAACAAAAGAAACCAACATTGTTTGGCATAATGCTGTGAACTACGAACGTCTCTGTGATTTGAGACTTACAAATTACGGGACAATCAGGAAAAATATCTATTCTTTATATATTCAAACCAAGCTCCAGTCCTGCTGAGGACAGGCAGAAGATGCAATTAAACAGTAGCAATCCAGGTATAAGTGTCGACCTTAGTAAGTACAGGAAAGGGTGGCAAGTCTCCAAGGGGTGAAGTCGATTCATCTCCCACCCATTGTTGCCATATGGAAATGCAGGCTCAATTTTGCTAGTTCTTCCAGTTTTTTAAGAGAAGTTTGAAGCCTAGATTTTTATGTGAAAACTCCCACTTTTTAAATGTTGGCTCAAACTTTAAAGACAGACAGACAATGTCTGTGTGTTTTGCAAACATATCTACCCAGAGGGTCATCGATTTGAAACCTCTCATTTCGACTTTACTACGTCTGAGAACGTTTATCCTTAGGACTATGTCTATGTGTGTTTGTGTGTCTGTGTATGTGTTGTGTGTTGTTGCTACAATAATTATCCCGTCGTGGACACTGAGAAGAACAAGGAGATAAGTCACACTTGTGGGGAGGGTTTTCAAGCATGGGGTGAGCTGGTGGAAAAGTATCAGAGGACATTTATTTAGGGGGGAGAGTAATCAATGGGATGTGTCAGGCACATTGAGTTATTACTGAATTTGCAAATAGTTTTCTCTGTGATTTGGCCATCTGTGCTTGCTAAGCTTCTATCCTCCCACAGAGACTCAGAGATACTGGTGCTATCTCCCTTGGCGATTACATTTCAAAGGATGGCTCCCAGGTCCTTGAGGAAGACATTCCTGGGTTGTAAAACTGTCCAGAAGCTTTTAAAGAGGTTTGCATCTCAAAGGGAACAGAGAAAGAATGTACAGCTAAAAGTTTTCTAAAGTTAATGCTCTAAGAAAAAAGGGGTCAGGGGCCTTATAGTCAGAAAGAAGCCCATCTAAAGTTTGGTCAAGCTGGAAGCAATGTTAAGTCCATCTTAGTCAGAAGAGTGATGGTAGACGTTCAGCAAATTACACATCATTAGATCATACACAAATGAAAATTCTAGATGTTTCAGCCCTAACTTAAGAGTGCTCCCCACCTTTCCCCTAAGACCTCCCCACTTTCCCCTAAGACCTCCCCGCTGCCTAGTAATCATGAAACCAGGGGATGCCAGTGGTGACAGTGAAGTAAGAATTCTGTCCACTCAAGAACTTGAGAGGAGAAACCCATGCTGCCCCTGATGGCCTCCAGGGGACTCTACCTGCCTAGGTATCTACCAACAGGTGCTTAAAACGGCACCAGTACCATGTGGTTTTGCCAGCTTGTGCAACCTTGAAAGCCTCGGTCTCTTCATTTCTAAATGGGCATAATAAATAAATTCTACACAGCATTTATATGAGGAGTAAACTTGATCTGTGTAAAGCACTCAACATGGTGCCTGGCATATAGTAACAGCTCAATAAGTGGTAACTATCAATATTTCAGCCAGTGCTCATCTGTGCTATTATATTATTCTCACAGAATGATGGATACACTATGATACTAATATCAATAAAATATACAGAGAGGTGGAAGAAAAAAAAGTTAGAGAATTATGACTTCAATGTACTGAAATAAAGCAGAAGAAGCTAGCGATGCGGCAACACCTATTTCCAAAGTTCCATAGCCTACCCTCCACAGCTCCACCCTAATTTTTGCCCGATTTTTCTTAATTTTGTTTTTTCAAACTTAAATATTTCCCTGTGTACATGTCAAATCTTCATGTTATTTAGCTTAAGGATATAATACAATTTTCTAAATTACAATCTTTGCTGTATTTCTTTTCTTACATTGACACGTGCAGCATTTTACCAATGCTGTTTGCTTTTTGAAAGACCATGTGGGAGCTAATTGGCTTTTCAGGAAGTTCTTTGCAAATTCTCCCCCCAAAATGTTTTCCTCTGTTTGTATCTTAGTAGTAATTCTAAAAATTTCAAGATATGGACTCTGGTTTTATAACAGTGCTCAAAGTATCTACACAGAAGTGGTCTGTTTCATCATCCAATGAGCTCTGCCTGTTCGTGGATGTGACACTCCAGTGGAAGGGAGCCAAGAGCCTATAGTAGCGATCCTGGGGGAAATTTAAGCAGCTGTGGCCATGTAATTTAAAACCTCTGAAAAGTGTGCTGCAGTCTGAGCACAGCGTTAGTATAACATGAGGGCTGGATGTAGCCCGTTCTCCGGAGGACTTCCCCGCCTCCTGCATGAAAGAGAAGACTGAAAGACAAACCTGGGTGCAGCCGGAAAGGTCCAAATAGATGAGCTTGTGACATCCATTCCCTAAATTCAGGTACTGTAAGCCTTTGTCTGTGAACTTTCTGCAATAAGCCAAACTAAGATTCTGTAAGTTATGGAAGTGCCTGGAAAGACAGGGGGAGAGAAGAGAGGAAGGAAAGTTACTATAGTTGTTTTCTCACATCTTTCTTAAGCCACTCTGACAAAGAGAAGTAAAACTGTAGATTAATCTTTTCTCCTTTCAGGTATTCAACAATTAAACTTTATTTTTAATTCTCTTCCTGTTAAGTAAAGGAGATTGCAGTAGTATATCAGACAATGCGTAATTACATTTCAAATGAAAATAAGAGTTGCCTAGATTTGTAAGAAAGCAGATTGAGATATATCTTTGGGGGCAGGGAGATGTGTGCATTCATATTGTTTGGAAGTTTGTTTGTGTTTGAAACCAAAGTTACAAAGTTTGCATTATTATTGCATTTAGGTTTTATTGTTGGAGCACTAAAATAATGTGCAAAATGTCTAGAAAGACAAATCGTTTTGTAAACATTTAAATGGTGATTAACTGTTACATGAGAGTGAGGATTTGGGGAAGAAAGGAGGCAAAGTTGAACATAACTGGCTCTTAAAATGGATATGACAAACAAATAGTTTGAAAAAAAAAGATTTGAATATGCATGATTTTATAGTAGTTTGATTATTATCTTTAAAGAAAGTCTAATTGATATACAGAGTTTTAAAATGGGTTAAGAACAGTCTGCAAATGAGTGGGCAACACATGAGAGTAATAAAACCTACATGAGAGACTATCAATCTCACTAGAGTGGAAACTGATTAAATATGGCATTACCACCATAACCAAAATGAAAGCTTCCAGAAAAAAAGGAAGGTAATTGGGACAAGCCAGTTCTACCATGCAAGGGCTCACAGTTTGAGGACAATCCGTGGAAAATTTTCCAAACCCTCCTAAGCCTGGCATTTTTTAAAAGTGCAAGAACTCCCAATGCTGCCTGCTCTCGTAATGGAATTAAGAACATGCTCTTGGTTTCTGAGCTGCAACAGTTTAACAGCAAATTAGAAAGCAAAAAACAAAAGTGGAAGAAGGTGCCTCTCTGTCCCTTAAAAGCCCACAAATGACTAATAAAGTTTACTTTCACATAAATGGTAAATAAGATATGAAAACATTGACTATTAATCAGATGCATTCCTAAAATTTGAGAAACACATTTTTATGGTATAATGATTCCTGTGCCATAGCGAATCATTTGGTTCAGAACACACATTCCGTCACGCTGTGCCCGTGAGATTCAACAGAACAGAGAAGGATGCCTTCTGGATTCCCCAGCAGCTGGGTGGGCGGGGCCATAAAGGAAAAAGCAGCCCTGACATCCCAAAGACACAACCCCTCTCCTGGGGCCCTCTAACTTCACTAAGAGCTATGCCAAAGTTTAAGAAATGTTTTATTTTGCTCTCCCTGGAGCGTACCCTTGTGATTTAACTGGGTAAAGTACAATTTTCTGGGGACTGGGTGGGGGAGCGGTGTCACTTCTAGTAACCCTTTAGCTCTCTAATTTGGAGAAAGGAGTAGTGAGGCAAGCAGCATGACACAATGGAAAATATACAAGGTTTTGGAATCTGACCAAATTGGATACAAATCCCAGCCTTGACTTTCACTGCAACTTCCCTAACCTCTCAGAGATTGTTTCCCCATTTGCTAAGTGGAGATCATAATATTGTATTACCTAATTTTGTTTTTTGTTTTTTTATTAACCCTGACTGACTGTGGAGACTCCAGCTTTCCTGAAGCTGTTTTCTCATCTGTAACATGGATATAACCCTCTGCTCTTTCTTCTTAGAGGTATGACAATATCATGAGAATGTAGATGTAAGTCTGAGGAACACGGTAGAAGCTTTAAATATATGTTTTTATTATTGCTACTATTACCTCAAATAATAATAACATATTAATTGTTCTTATGAAGTTTGTACTATCTCCTTCCCCTTAATGGAATACTCATCTGACAGAAGTGGTGCATGTGACTGATTCTAAGAGTTTGGGGGATCTCATATTGCATCTATACCCTCATTTTGGTTATGGTGGTAATGCCATAGTTAAGTGGTTTCAACTCCAATGAGATTGATAGTCTCTGATGTAGTTTTCATTCCTCTCATGTGTTGCCCACTCGTTTGCAGACTGTTGATTTATCCCTTTTTTTTTTTTTTTTTTTTTTTAGCTGAGCCATCCTGCCACCTGTTGGCAGCTCACGGCTGCTCAGCTCGGGCTGACTCGAACCGCTGTTGCTCAGAGCTCAAACTCTTGAGCGAGCTCTTAACCAACTGAGCCACTCAGCCGGCCCCCCCATTTTTGAACTCTGTATATCAATTAGTCTTTCTTTAACAATAGTAATGAAACTGTTACAAAACCATGCATATTCAAATCTATTTAAATCTGGTCCAAGACTACTGTTCCATTTCTTAAAGTCCATGTGATCAGTTAACAAATACCAAAAATGGGAACTGAGCTAGTTCTTAACTTTTTGTGTGTCACAGGTACCCATGGATCTACGGACCCTTGGTCAGCATAATGTTACTAATGCATGAAATAAAATACTTAAGATTACAAAAGCAGGCAATTATACTGAAAGACAATATCAAAATATTTTTAAAAACCAAATGAGTGGAATAATATATGTGCTTCTTTATTAACATATTAACATATTAAATCTAGTAGAGATCTAATAACTATCATGATTTTGAAGTAGTGACAAGTGCCAATGATATTTTGAAATATTTGTAACAACTATAATAAGAAAATATTTGTGATTTACATTGGTGAAAGAGTCCCAGGGAATACTGTGACTACTCTAGCTTTTTTACCTGCATTTCAGTTCAAGCTTAGTGAAAATAGAGATTTTTTTTTCCTTTATTAAAATTTATAGAACCTCTGAATTTTATCACTAGTCTCCTTGGGACATCCACTTGTCCCAGGTTAAGAACCTTGGGTTTGGCAAAAGAGGTGTTCATTAGACAAATGACTCCCAGATTGAAAGTCTCTAGTTGGCTCTCTTCAAAGTGGAATCTTATGAGAATCATCAGTTTGAGAGCAAAGCACAGGAATCTTAAGTGGCCCTGTAGGCCTTTCTAGGGATTTACAGGGCTGAGAGTTAAAGCTGCTGGGAAAGGAAAAGTATCAGTTGACAGTGAAATTGCATTTGGCAAATTTTATGCAATACTGTTACTTTTTATTCTGGATTTTGGCAAAGAAATATGCCCCTTACAAGAGAAAGACCTGGTTCATCACTTTCCCAACCCAGAAACAACATGATAATTCTAATTCCACTTTTAGGCAGTGTTTGTGTTCTGTGTTTATCTTTTCCTAATTATCTGATAACTAAGTGTGTCTTATGTAAGGAGAGGGCTTCTCTTTGTGATTTATTTTTCTATTGCTATGATAGTCTTTAAGAAATCACAATTTTCTTGTAGAAACTACAGAGATAATATTTTCTCCATTCTCCTGGCTTTCTTCCATTAGAGAATTGAGGCCTTCTGTGTTAGATCTCCAACACATGAGGCAAATACTACGGGAAGGAATGTAAAATAACTATGTATTTAACTGAAAGTTTCTCTGAAAAATCACCAAGACAAGGCCCAGTCTGTAAAAGAAAGGATTTACATGTAGATTCTTTTGACTTGAGTGTTGGGTTCTTTAGTTTCACAGACACAGTTTCACATAATAGAGTTCCTGCAGAAAATTCAACTGCAGTGACTTGACTTCCTGTTTACAGGGTAGACCTTGAGGATGTCTAGTCAAGGCAAGGGCTTCCTCTGCCTGCCCCACTCTGATGAGCACTGGTGAGACTGTCACATGAGAGTGCCTGCTAATAAGGTTCCAAGCCAACTGAAGGGTCAATTCATCTATGTGAAAAATAACGAGACACCATGCCACGATAGCATATAATGCTCCACTAAGGAGCAAAGATCATAATAGCTTCACTCATCACTATATGCCCAGAATGCCTCACATTGTAGTTTATCAATACATGGTGAATAAGTGAATGAATGTTGCTATTAGAATTCAGGGAAAGGAGAAAACACCATGGACTTCTGGTAGATGGTGTGACTTGAGGTATAAAGGCTGTGGATTAGCAGAAATAAGCAGAAAGGCATCCCAGCCGCAGATAAAGAGAAGCATCAGCCATCAGATGACCAGAGTTAAGGACTTCCCTTGGAAAACCTGGGCAGACAAGCTTGATTAGAGAATGTTAAGGGATAGTGAGGGAAGAGTCTAGACCTTAAGCATGTCCCAGACATGATAAAACCATTGTTCCAGGATGATACTTCTTGCAGCATAAGGCAGTGCAGTTTGAAGGGAAGCGAGACCAGAGGCTGAACCATCAGGAGGCTGTGCCAGATGAGGTGCTGAGAATGCCACCTAGGTTGTGGCATTAGGAATAAATGGAAAGGGTTCCATTCAGGAAATATTTAGAAGTAAAAAATGTCCTGGAAAGGGCATGAGTTGTGGGCAGCCCTCATTTTCAACTTTAGAAAACTGAGCAAGTCCCCCAAGAAGTGAGAAAAAATATTCAAATAAAAAACTGGCAGAGCAGTGTTGCCAAGAAGGGCAAACAAATTACATCTTTCTCCTGGCAAATGATTTCTTTGGAAAGAAATACTAAAGGCACTGAAGGGGAAAATGACAGCAGCAACAAACAACATTTCTCTGGTTATTTATAGCTTGAGAAACACTTTTGCATACCCAAGCATGTTTGAAACGATGGAAAACAAAGCAAAAATAGAGAATCATTACAAAATGTATTTTTATCACAGATAAGAAAGTCAACATACATTTTTTTCATATGGCAGAAAATATCAGTACTGAGTAGCATTTATCTCAAATATTCTCTCAATTGCAAGAACTAGAAATTAAAACTCAAACAAAATTCTCATTTTGGGTCCTATTCTTCTATCTGTTGCTACATACACATATATTTATACAATATACATCTTAATATGGAATATCTAAAGAAAAGTACTGAGTGATGTTTTATATTATAGGACTAGAGAACTCCAGCTCATGAGAGCCAGTTGTTAGCATCTCTTCCCAACTCCACATTCAGTGACATCATGTTGGTAACTTAAAACTGGCCATGATGGAAGTACTGGGGGTGCCAAAAAAATGTATACACATGACTTGTGTTCATCTTTTGTTATCGGTATATATTGAGTATTATAATTTTAATAGTTTTTTTCTTTCTTAAAATGTATATACATTTTTGGGGTCACCCTCTGTATTTACACCACAGAAATCAGTAAATCCTGCAAATCACAACATCCCTTTACCCCCTACCCAAGCCAGCTCTTAGACATTTACCAGAGCACTGCTATCCTTGGAACACACATGGAGAACTACTGATATAGAGAATGCAGTATGCTGAGAAAATGTATACAGAGATAAAAATGATGAGAGAGAGGATGACAACTTTGAAGGACAGGAACAAAAATTGGATCTAAATATAAAAGGGGATTCTAAAGATAAAACCTGAACAAACGCAATAGAAGCATTAGGAAAAATATACCTTCCTTGGCTGAGAAAATATCTAAGTTTTAATATTCAAAAGGTTTACTATATTCCAGGAAAATTAATTGATAGAACACAATTAAACTTGGAATTTTTTTTAATTTCTCAAAGAAAAGGAATTTCTTGCAAGCATCTTGGCAAAGAAAATAGGTTACCAACAAAGGAATGAAAAATCAAGCTGGCTTTAGACTTCTCTTTAACCAGAAATCCGAAAGATTATGGAACAATATTTGTAGGGTTTTAAGGATAAAATAAGAGACATGATTCAAGAACTATACACCAAAAGAAGTTGTTGTTCATCCTTCAAGACAATAGTCATTTTCAGAAAACAATGGCTGAAAATCTAACACTTGCACATTTTTCATAAAGAGTTTTTAAAACTATATTTCTAGTCATCATAGGATGAATCAAAACCGAAATTAAAGAATAAGCAAACTGTGGAACAAATGGACCATCAATGAATGACAAAACTAGAGTTAGGACTACATAATTATTATAAATATGATTACAATATTGAATACAAACACTAAAAACGATATTAAAAGGAAAGTTAAATGACTAACAAAAATTATGATTAATATGCGTTTACATACAGAGGAGTGGAAATGGGGGAACGTCAAGTTTAAGGGAGAATTAAAATGTATTATAACTCTTGTCTACACAGGGGGGGCCAAAGTCATTATTTCATCATGACTTTGATAATTAGAGAAAAGTATGTTAAAGCATGTTCTTAAATATCATACAAATATCCACTAGTTAGAATATCCAACAGAATGTGCGCATACTTTTGAAATACCTTCATACTATAAAAAGTAAACAACATAGTTTATATAGCAAAAGGTAGAGATGATGACTAGCATACAGTAACATAAAAATTTAAAAATCAGAACCATAAAACAAGATGATAAAAATAAGACCATACACTCAATTTTTTATTTTTAAGATTTTATTGGGGGAATCGGGGAAGGGGAACAGACAAGTTGCTGTCCTTTTGTTCTTCAGTCTAGTTGTGGAGGACTTCGCTTCACTGGCCTATGTTGGTATTATCATTGCGCCCTTCCTGGGTGAGGCAATCACTCACCGGCCATTGGACGGCCACTCACGGGGGCTCACAGCAACTCACAAAAGCTCATGCCTGCTGCTGGCCAGTCCCACTGCATCCTACGCTGTCGCCGGTGACTCAAGGCAGCCCAGCTCCAGGTTGAGCCGTTGTTCACCGTCTTAGCTGTAGAGGGCACAGCGTCACTGGCCCTCATGTGGGATCCAACCCAGGGCCCTGATGCTCAGAGCTGGCGTCCCAAGCCAACTCTTAACCAACGCGCCACTCAGCCAGCCCCATACACTCAATTTTGACAAGAAATAGTAATATTTTAAACCACTCTCTTAAAAAGGCAAAGGGACTGAAAATTTTATAAACAGAAGTAGCTAGCTACATGTTGTACATAAAAGACAAAACCAAAATCCAGTGACACAAAGGTTAAAAATACATGAAGTTATTCCACGAAAGCACAAGCAAAAGAAAACAAAGATGATTGTATTAATAGCAGATAAAAAAAAGTATTAAAGACAAAGAAACATCAAACAGAATAAAGAATATAATTTTATGTGAATAAATGTTACACTCTATAATGAAACATACTATTTATTAATCTTTATGTATAAAATAATAACTGAAATAAATTAAGAGAAGCTTGGTTATAATAGGAGGCCAAATTTATCGCTATTATACTATGACTTGTCAAGAATTTACACATATGGGTACACACATACACACAGAAATTTTGTGCTCTAAAAGAAACTCATTTTAAACATTCATGGATGATTTATTGAAATTCATTATATAAACTAGTCCACCAAGAAATCTTACTAAATCCCAACAAGTAGAAATAATTCAGTCCACATTTCTTGACCACAATGAACAAAAACTAAATATTAAAAACAGAACCTTCAAAGAAATTTCAGCCACTTGGAACCAAAAATTCTCTTCTCAACAATTATTGGGTTAAAGAGAAAATTTAACATAGAATAGTTTGTTTAGAAAGTGAGAACAATGCTTATCAAATCTTGCAAGCTTTTCCTAAATTCTTATTTAGAGGTAATTTCATAGCCCTATTTTTTATCATAAAAGGAAAGAAAGCAATTAAACCATACAAATAAAAAGTTAAAAAGATATCTGCACTTCATACCCAAGTCCAAAAATGACTATTCAGAAAACATAATCTGAAAGGATACCATTCACAATGGCAATTAAAAAGATACCTAGGAATAACTTTCATAAAATTATCCATATGAATAAAACAAAATTTTATTGAGACATTTAAGAACACTTGAAAAAAATTTTAGAGGTATACTATGTTCCTCATGGGGAGGCTAAATATTGAAAAAGTATAAATTAGTTTCTAATTTATTTTATCTTTAATTATTGGCATATGGATAAATTTCTACTGGCTCTTCAAAAAATATGTATATAAATGTACATAATTTGCTATAAATTTGTACATCTTACTATTTTATACTTACTATAAAATACTTGCAGATATAAAAAATATGTAGCACACAACTTACAAATAATAATAAAATACACTATACTCTTTATTATGAATTCCATGTAATCATTCAGTTCTCACACAATGCTTTCATTGCCAAATTCATTAATGTAAGTAGAACTTTTGTCCTCTCTTATATGCTTGAAGGAAAAATAAAATCTGTCACTCTGCTGTATCTCTTGTTTTCACCGGAAAATAAAAATAAAGTTGAAAAAAAATTGAGGAATAAGTATAGTTCCAACATGAATATTTTTATTTCCATTAATGAGTAAGACAAAAGTGAAACAACAAAGATGTATGTCCAGAGTTCACTCATCCATCGATGATGTGAGTGACTTCTTTGGTGCATCAGATAATAGTTTTCAGGCATTAGAATATTTCCTCAATTTTTTGTGCTATTAACAATGTTGTTGTTACAAACATAACACACTTTTAAATTTAATCTGTGTCATTATTTTCTCCATTATTTTCTCAAGTCTAAACAATCAACAAAAAAATAAATAAAGCCCTAATTTGTATTGTTTGCCTTATTCCACGGTGTACTATTCTGCCATTTTGGCTGATTCCAAGCTTCTAGTGAGTGGTTTACCACACTTTTTATGCTTGCACATTTCCAGAAAATGGTTAGAAACAAGAGATAAGGAAAATTACTACCTAGGATTTTCTCTATTTAAGCTTCTCCAAATACCTCACTGTTATTTTTCAAAGAATTTCAAAAGTTATATTCTCTAAAATGGTTTACTCTTCCACAATAGTTTGAAAAATGCTTTAAATCTCTCCCAGTATTATCATATACTCTTCCTGATTAGTCCTTCCTTGGTGAAAATAAATAATTATTTACCACATAAATTTGTGATAAACTTGAGTATTCTGTCAACTCTTGGTAATGTGTTGTGTTCGTCTGTCCCTTGTCCTTCAAAGAAGTGCTGGTTTAGGAGAAGCAACATTTGTGTCCAGCGTTGTCAGCAGTCCATAGATTGAAAGACAACCAGTATCAGGTTTCCTGGAGGTGGTGGGGGTTCCATAAGTAACCAAACCTGGAAATGGTTAACCTGGCAACAGGGAATCTGGGACTCAGTGTTCAAGAGTCTAAGGAGTTAGCACATTGGTGTTCTGCTGTAAAGAAGTCCCAGACCCTAGACTGGAATTTAGGGGCCAGGCGGAAAGAGGGACCAGGAAGAGACAGCAGAGCCTAACTCAAGCTACTAGGCACGATACTACAAGAGTGACACACAAATGCGGGCCAAGGCAGCAGACCAATTATTCAACCTGGGCCCACCAAGGAAGGAGAGGATAGGTACCAGCTTGGGGACTTGAAAGCAGCATCCTTTAGTCAAAAAAGCAGTGCCACAGTGACAGAGTGCTGGTAAAAGGAGCTCTGGCTTTGCGGAATGCTGGAGCAAGCCAGAGCCTAGAGGAACATAGCTATTTTCAGTGCAATGCAAATAAAAAAGCATTACCTTGGTAGGAGTCGCATTGTCCTATTGGTGATAGTTGTGTTAGAGAGATTGAGATACAGGACTCCAGGACAACCTTCAGAGATGTACCTCATTGATTCATCCTGCATAAAAGCAGAGGGAAGAGTCTCATCAAAGTCTAACAGGCTTTGCTATTCCCCATTTTCTCTCTATCGCCTTTCTCTCTGCTCCAAAAACATATATGCAAGACTTGGTCTCTTCATATTCTTTGATATTAGTTGTAAATCAAATTTAAATAGAAGGCCATGGTTTTGCTTAAAGCTCCATTCCTCCCACACTTTTCCCTTTTTTAGAAATAAAGTTATATTTCATCACAATGACACTACATTAAAATTTGAATCCTTGCAAGTTCAACTCTGTGACAGGAAATCCGAGCTCAAATTTCAAAGTGTCAAACATTCCTGACTCTTCAGATGCATGAAAGTGATTAAGAATGGATCACTTTTTAAGCTTACTGAAATTATTATGAAAGACAGGAATAGTCAATGCTCTCAACTGGACTGCAACAAAAATGAGTTCAGATTTATGCATATGTATTTATATAGAGATGTATGTGTATGTGTTTGTGTAATTAAGCTTCTGTGGTTCTGTTACTGAATATATTAAAACAGCTAAACAGGTTTCCACCAAATTTATGGCAAATTTGAGATGAGCTAAAGTAACTGGCTACATACATGTTGGACACGAAATTCAGTGTTGGGAGTACTGTGGGAGGCAGGATCTCAAAGAGTCAAACAACCCTTCACCAGAGAGCTGTAACTGAGGTACCAAGAGAGTGATGTGGCTGTTTCCTGAGACAGAAAACAAACAGTGATTTCAAGCATGAGCCCTAATTTGACATTTACAAGACCAGATGAGTGGCAAGCTTTGATTACTATAGCGCTGCTTCTCATATAGGTAACTACTTACAAAATGCTCTAGAATGAGTAGCAGCAGGTTTTTATTGATTTAATTGATGAGTCTCCCCCAGAACACTGAAGAGGTCAGCTAGTTTTAAATATTTGTGGTACCGTGGTCCTGGAAAGAATAGGCCGTTGCAGGAAGAGGTAAGTTGTCACTTGGCTAAGAGATGTGGTTTGGGAAAGAATTCTGCGTGGTCAGTATGGTCACCCTGAACACCACTAAGGATGGCAATGGTTTATTTTCAGCATGATCATCAATGTTTAACATTTTATTCCTGGCTATTTCCTGGAGTTGTGGATAGTAAAATAACAAAACGCTGCAGGAAGAGGAAGATAGAATATGCTTTAGGCACTGTAGAAGAATCTGATTTCCCCTTTGATACAGGGAAGCAAACCATTCTCTGCATTTCCCTGTCTGCAGAGAATTCAAATGAATCCTATCCCCAGTATTTAACTTAAGGTTCAATCCCCAAATGTTAGAGCATATAAACACATAAACATTTGAGTGACTACATTGCAGAATGGTTTATGAATTTGTCCACAATGCACTCAAGTCTTTCTCAATGTAATATATTCATAAGGCAAGCTCCTTAGAAGACAAAGCTTTTTGAGTGAATGTTACTTAACTCTTTAATCGTAAACTTGTCTCCCATTCTACGTCTCAAAGGGAAAAACAATAGTAAAATGTAATTGGATAAAATTATCAGCCTTGTATATTATTAGACTCCTTAATTAAACAGATTTTTATGTTCACAAATTTAATGCAGATGGCATTGTATTAGAAAGCCAACTTTGAAGAATATGATCTTTTATTCAAATGAAGAACTGAAGTTCTCTGGGGGCAGAACAGAAATTGATTCATTTTTAAATCCCTATACTACATATATATTATAACTTATAAATTCCCTACATATCTTTACATATAAAGATAAATATATCATTAACATAGGAGGTACAATAAATGTCCACAAAAAGAATGAAAGAAATTTGAAAGGAAGAGTTGAAATGATGAGGCAGCAAGGAGCAGCCCATTCATGAAGTCTTTGCACCCTGGCTGAGGAGTGTGGCCGTCCTCCTGGAACTGGTGCTTATGATGGCGTGACACAGTCGGGCCCTTCATTCCACTGCCTCCTTAGCTACTCAGTGACTTGCTCCATGAGCTGCTCAAGTGGCTCTCCACCAATCTCTGTAAACCCTGCCTCTATTTTCCTTCTGCTACCCTCTTAGCCACTTTTCTGGAAAGATACGATTACACCTAATGGCTCATTTTCTCTCCTCGTGTCCACTTCGCAATTCACTGCGATTAGATTTCTGCCCCAAGATCTCACTGAAACTGTTCTAGCAAAAGCCAGCAATCACCTCCTAATTCTAAAATCCAGGAGGCACTGCTCAGTCCTTTTCTCACCTGCTCACCTTGATCACTTCCTTCCTTCTCTTGCCTTTTGTGATACCTCTCTGTTTTCAGCCTCCTTCTCTTACTATTCCCCCTTGAGATCTTTTGCTGTTTCACCTCTGCCCACTCCTGGAAGTCAGCATTCCCCAAGGTACAGTCCTAGGTCCTCTTCTCTTCTTATACCTTCTCTCTCTTCAGGTTGATCTTATTTACTTTTGGAACGTTAATTATGACTCGTAGATGTAGGCCCAAGATGGAATCTCAAGTTCTAGCCAATGTTGTCCATTACCTATTAGATATCTCCATAGAGTTTCATTAATTAAACAAACATTATAGAGTGTTTACTATGCAAGATCTGTGCTGTGTGCTATGACTACCGCAAAATTGAGACACATCTCCAGCACTTTGGGCCTCTTAGGCTAGTGGAGGAGGCAGAACCACTGTGATGAAGGCTACTTGTGGCAGGAACCCAGGGAAGCAGCAGCGAACCTGGGAGTCAGTATGTCTTGGTAAAGCAGGTGGTGCCTAAAGTCAGCCTTAAGATCTGTCAAACAGGAAAGAGCACCTGAGGACTGAGCGGAAGAGTATTCCCAACAAAGAGCACAACCTCTGTGAACGGAGGCAAAACAGCAAGGGACAGCTTGGCAAATGCAGCAATGAAGGCAGAGCAGCTGGCAGCTGCTGCAACTTAACATGTTTGCAGGATTTGGAGCAAGTGGAGGCTAGAAAGGGAGGCAGATGCTAGACCACAGAAGGTCTCCTAGGTACAGTCACATTAAAGAACTTTGACTTGATCCATAGTGTAGATGATGAGTGTGTGTAAACGATGGAAGATGGGAGTGAAATGGTTAGAACTGCCTTTTAGAAAGAGTATTAATGTGCTCACAGGGTGGGAGACAGAGTTGGAGTAGGGGAAAGCCTGGAGACAGGGACCAGGAAGGAGTTGGCTTGGGTCACATGTGCATTTCCATCTTCTTTGGCACTGCCACCGTGAAGACCATGAAAATGAGCTTATTGTTTCTGCTGGGGCCCAGGTTTTCTGTCTTACACACACATGGCCTTAAATATAAATATAGTTCATGTTTGTGTAATTGTTGAATAGTTTTCACTTTCCAGAGACTCCAACAGTATTAATAATAGCATTATACAAATGGGACAAAATTTCTTGCCAATATTTAACATAGTTCGCTTTTTTCCATATTTAATCCTAAATGAGCACACAGGCATATATTTTGGCAAGCCCTCTGTGTATTAACACTCCAACACAGCAAGTCCAAATCTATGTAAACAATAGTAAAATAAGCTTCTTATACTCACTGTGAGTGTTGGACAGTCAGAGACATTCAGCTCTTGCAAATTTTTACAGAAACCTAAATCAAACAAGTGACACATCACTAAACAACATATTATAAATGTTTAAACTTAAAGTTTTTCCATTCTACATTCAATGTGATGTATTCATTAGAAAACAAACAAAACTTTGGCAAGTAACTTATTCTAAGTATATGGTTTCTTTTCCCAGAAAAACGATTTCTTTTGGCTTTAAAATTAAAATGTATACACATGTTTATTATTGTTTGAGGGTTACAGAAGGAAGAGGAAAAGAGAAAAATACTACTTTGGGAAAAACTGTATGTTTTAGAGCTTTTAGTTTCAAAGCTCTTGAAGAAAACCAACCTGCTATTTTGTGGCATGACGTTTTGTTCATTTTTTTCCCTCTGTTTCCTTTTAACACTTTATCATGAAAATTTTCAAACATACAAAAAAGTTGAGAGAATTAAAGGATTGTACAATGAACATACCTACCACCTAGATTCCACACTTTATATTTTACTGTATTTGCTTTATCACATATCCACTTGTACATCCATCTCTCTATTCCTCAATCCACCTTATTTTATGCATTTTAAAGTAAGTTTCAGACATCTGCATACATCCCCAAATACTTCAGCGTATAGGTCATAAATAATTAAGCAAGTATAATATTTAACAAAATAATTCTGATTTTTTAAGGTTAAATTTACATGCAATTTTAATGAATTGCCGATAGAGGAGTGGAGGGTCAGAAAGGACAAGTGCCTGAATAGCTCTGGGACCAGAGGCAGCTGTATAGCTTACGGTCTTGCAAGGAAGACATGTACACGAAGAACTAGATGGGAAAGTGGACACAGTCAGCACTCTGGGTCTAGACTGATGGGAAGCAAAGCCCCAGATCTGAGACAGAAGAGAAGCAGTTAGGAGAGGGGGCACAACACAGTGGATAGGAGGCATGCTTGAGGCAAAGAAGCAGGGAGGCATTCTAGGTGGAGGAGGCCCCATGGAGCAGGAAATCTCCAGGCTAGGGAGTGACCTGGCATTCACACGACTACTACGATGAATAGAAAACACATCTGCCACTCATAAGCACATAACCCACGGTAATAACAACAGAAATGCTATTAATTACAAATTCAATGGGCTATGTCCTAAGTAATAAATGCAAATGAAAACCACTTTCAGGACTGAAACATGGAAAAAATTCTTTAAAATGTGCGGATCTTAGAAGTCATCAATAATACTTGTTAAGGAAAAAATACATTTCCTGAAAAATATAATAACTAAGTTTATGAGATTCGTATTTTTATAGAATAGTTATTTGAGAGTAATTCATGCATTCAACAAGTATTGGGTCTTCGGGAAAGTCATGACATATTTTGTTGATGTTATTCAAAGGTCATTTATTTATATAAAGAACAAAGATCAATCAATGATATATTGCCTGTTTTGTTCGATAACCTTTTGCCATCTTTCAGTGAGCTTCATAATTCCTCGTTCATAGAAGGACCTGTCTTTATTTGAGAAACACTGAACAAGGCGCTGATTTACAGCCTCATCTGAATTGAACGTTACACCCCGCAAGGACTTTTGAAGAGAGTGAAACAAGTGGAAGTCTGACGGGGCAAGGTCGGGAGAGTATGGTGGGTGTGGCAACACATCCCATCCAAGCTCCAATAATTTTTGATGGGTGATGAAACTTGTGTGTGGTCTCGCGTTGTTGCGATGGAACACAACTCCTTTACAATTAACAAGCTCTGAACGTTTCTGGATGATGGATTCATTCAAACTGTCCAATTGCCAACAGTACACATTCAAATTGATTGTTTGGTTCCTTGGCAGAAGCTCGAAAAACACGACACCTTTAAAATCCCACCACACTGAGAGCACAACCTTCCTCTGATGAATGTTTGCTTTCGATGTCATTTGAGGAGAATCATCACGTCAGGACCAAGACCGTTTGCACACCATGTTGTTCTAAACAATCTACTTCTCATCACCAGTTATTGGTCGCTTCAAAATAGGATCATTTTCCTCACACTTAATGAGCATATTGCAGATGTTTATATGCGCCGTCAAATGAACTTCTTTGAGTTCATGTGGAACCCAAATATCGAGCTTGCTTACATATCCCAGCTTCTTCAGCTGGTTGGGAATGCTTGAATGATGGATGTTCAATGTTTCTTCGATCTCTGGTGTCGTGTAACGTGGGTTTGACCTGATCAATGCCTTTATTTTGTCATCATCAACCTCGGTGGGCCTCCCTGACCGAGGAGTATCGTTGAGATAAAAATCACCAGCAAGGAATTTCGTGAACCATCGTTGGCACTGACGTTCTTATAGAGCATTGTTACTGTAAACTTTATGCAACTTTTCACAAGCTTGATGTGCGTTCTTCCCTTTATGTAAGTAAAACAGTAAAATATGGCAAAAATGCACCGTTTGGTCTTCCGTCTTCAACTTGTAAAATCTCCAAAACTCAACCAAATCACTCAATTTTTTTATTTTTATTATTTATTTATTTATTTATTTATTTATTTATTTTAAAAATATTTTTATTGGGGAATTGGATGAGAACAGCGCTGGGGAATTGGGGAAGGGGAACAGACAAGTTGCTGTCCTTTTGTTCTTCAGTCTAGTTGTGGAGGACATTGCTTCACTGGCCCAAGTTGGCACCATCATTGCACTCTTCCCGGACGCTCAATTTTTTTAGACTGAAGCTAGAACTATCAGCTGTCAAATGACATAGCAATAACATAGATGCAAATGACTCTAGTACTTCCAAAAATGAACTAGCGCCATCTGATGCAAACATGCATCATGACTATTCTGAAGACCCAGTATATATCAAGAACCTGTTATCTGCTACAAACCCTACAGGTGCCGGAAATACTGCAGTGTACAAAATAGACAAAAATCTCAGACCTTATGGAGTTCACACCCTAGTTGGGGGAGAATGACAGTAAACAAAAGAAGTTAAATGTCTACTTTGACAGCTGGTGATAATTGCTCTGGAGAAAAATAAATCGAGAAAGAGGGTGGAGAGCCGCTAGGGAATGGGAAGGGGTGTGACTTCAAATAGAGCAGTCAGTGAAGGCTTCACTGATGGGACCTTCAAGAAAGCTGTGCACGAGATAATTCAACACAATTGGCGATTGGGAGACAATAAAGAAAAAAATAAGCTCAGGAACTCAGCCATTTGGGGTCCTACACATATTTGCATATCTGAAGGCTGTAAGGGGAATCCCTTTCATTTCTTGAATCTGATGTGATGATAAACTACAGATTTCAGTTTTCATAGTGCTAAGCCCTGACCCTGTGGAGTACTTCCATTGGACCAGGCACTGTGAAGTGTCTTAGATGTATGAGCGCATTTCATCCTCTCAACAATACTAGAGGCACACTCAGCCTCAGTTTACAGATGCAGAAGGTGACTTTAAATAACTAGCCTGAAGTTGCACAGTTCAGCAAGTAGGAGAGTCTTGATTCAAACTCAGGGCCCAAACATTTAGTCACTAAACAAGGCAAGGCGGATGGTGTAGAGCCTTATACAAGTGGTATTTTGTATGTGCCTTTATTAACTAGAATATCTTTGCTTTAAAAAAAAAAAAGCTTCCATTATCTGTCAATAATAGTGCTGACAATGGTCCTTAAACATTTTTTTTCCTCTTGCAATCTAGGGACTCCACCATACCTCAGCTGGATCTCATTGTGTCTGATCTGAATTAGTTAAGATTACCCAGACTTGGATTTCAAAGGAATACTTCCATTGTTCCGTCTGCCACACTGAGTAACTGGGGCCAGCTGGATGTCAGGATGCGCCTGGTTACCATCGTCATCCTGTTCCTCCTTTGTAAAGCCGCAGAGCCCCGCAGGGCAAGCCCCGGGGGTGTGAGAAGCCGAGCGCGGCCTGGCCGGGTGGGCTCAGGCCGCAGAGCCGCCCACCCCGTCAAACGCTATGCACCAGGCCTCCCCTGTGAAGTGTACACGTATCTCCACGAAAAATACTTAGATTGCCAAGAAAGAAAACTAGTTTATGTGCTCCCTGACTGGCCTCAGGATTTGCTGCACATGCTGTTAGCAAGAAACAAGATCCGCGTGTTGAAGAACAACATGTTTTCCAAGTTCAGAAAGCTGAAAAGCTTGGATCTGCAACAGAATGAGATCTCCAAAATTGAGAGTGAGGCTTTCTTTGGTTTAAATAAACTGACCACTCTCTTACTGCAGCACAACCAGATCAAAGCCTTGACTGAGGAGGTGTTCATTTATACGCCTCTCCTGAGCTACCTGCGCCTCTATGACAACCCCTGGCACTGCGTCTGTGACATGGAAACGCTTATTTCAATGTTGCAGGTTCCAAAGAACCGAAATTTGGGGAACTACGCCAAATGCGAAAGCCCACAAGAACTAAAAAATAAAAAACTGCGGCAGATAAGATCTGAAGAGTTATGTAATGAAGAAGAAAGGGAACAGTTGGAGCCCAAACCCCAAGTGTCAGGGAGACCCCCGGTCATCAAGCCTGACGTGGACTCTTCTCTTTGCCACATTTATGTGTTTCCCATACAAACACTGGACTGCAAAAGAAAAGGTTTGTAAGTTTCTTTTTCATTTTCATGGAAGATTTAAAACGCTCTGAGTCTTATAACCCTCCTTGCACCCCACTATGCCTTGGAATTTCTGGTGTAATGTCCACCGGAAATCTTTCTCCTATCACAGTGAATTTACTTGAAGCTTTTCTGGAGTCTAAACTCAAGATGGTTGGTGGCTTAGGGAACAATAGAGGAGGGTAGGAGGGACAGCCATTTGGATCCTACTCTTATCGCTCAATGCAAGCTGTGGCTGTAAGGAATTCCTTTTGTCTTACATCTAATTAATTTAATTTATGTACGTAAACCAATGGGTATGGAAACAAGTGCAAATGCTGTCTGTATAACCTGACTTACACCGAGCCCATCTGTGCGTCTCTGGGGAGATGATAACCTCAGGGAAACCCAGTGCAGGACAGGACAGGCGAGGGCCCTGTTAGAGGAGGCCAGGCGGGTGTTTGACGGTGTGT